CCACCAAAAAATCTTAATCCAGTTGCTTCATTTGTATGTGAACAGGGATTCGTATGTCCTTCTTTACGTACCTGTACTCTTGTTAATCTTGACCTCAACTTCTGCCTGTTAAGTGTTGGCACAGTGGGGTAAAAGGAGCACTGGCCACTTCTTATTCAAGACATTGAAGACTAGTTTAAATTTTACCTCTTAAGTCTTTATTTCTTTTCTTCTGAGGCTGTCTTTACCACTTTGCTAGTGGTAGTGACCTTTCCTAGTCCCTGTAAGAAGAAAGCTTGCAATTGTAAAATAATGCCATTGAAACTTGTTAGCACTTTTCTGTGTGCCCTTTATAAGGTCAGCAGTGATTTTTCACAGCAATTTAAATGCAGTGACTTTATGAAAGTGAAGTTCTTATGTGAAGCTGGTTATAACAACTTCCTTGTATCTTGTAGGGCAAAACTTATTGCTCCATTATATAATAATGAAGATGTGGCATGTCATTTTGTGCCGAAATACTCATGTTGAATCAAGTTATGTAATTGATGAAGTCTGAGGGATGTGCATGCCTTTTTTATTTTTTGCTCTTAGGATTTTGCAGTGTTTTAAAGCTGCAAGTTACTTCTGCACACAGAGTGAGTTGATATAGTAATCATAGCTTGGTTCAGTAGTCCATGATTCATTTTGTTAGGACATGTTCCACAGAAAATGCCTGGCTTCATCTGAGCAGTTCAAAGATGGCGCAGTGCAATTGATGGTCTTACCCTTAATTACACATTCATACTGCTTGTCTGGTTGCCCAGCATGAAGCAGGTTGTGGATGTGAGAAATTGGAGGTGTCTAATCCTATAGATGATAAGTTGAGTAACTCTCGTGGATGTTAGCATCCACACTTCAGTCTTCTTATAGTAAAGAACAAACCCTGGGGTAGTTCATATGGAATAAAATTTATTTTAATAATATTTCATTAAAGAAAAATAGAAAGAAACAGCTGTTGCAGTGCCAAAATCAGCACATCAAGGTTTCCAAAATCTAACATCACAGTAAAACAAGAGGACATAGCTAAAAAAACCCCCCAGCATTACAGAAAGTACATAGTGCTTTTCTTCTTCCTGCTGTGGAATGAAATCGGTGGGACATAGTGCTTACAAGAAGAGACAAGTACTGAAGGCAGCTCATGTATAGCGGGTGGCAATTTGTTCTAGCAGATTTGAAGTGGTACAGCAAAACTAATGAAGTAGCAAGTCTTTGGTAGCTCGTGTTAATTCAAGAAGTGAGGGTAACTAGTTAAAGTAATGCTGATCAACCAGCCCCTTCAAAATCTGTAGTTGTCTATGAGTGCTGTTTGGATGTTTCTTTTATAAGAAGGGGAGCTCAAATTAGTCGTAGGCTGTACTGCTTAAATGCTTTTCAGGAAAAAGATTTGTCATCTGTGAATGTTTAATCCATTATAGGTGTCTGTTTGGAAACTATTTAGGCTACTTTTGGCTGACTTTGACCAGCCTATGAGTGTTTGAAGAAACATTGACTAAACATTTAACATTATACAGGGCTGTTTCATGAGACTGACAACAGATTTTTGTCTCCCCTGTGCCTCATCCCCAAGTCAAACAGTTGGGAGTGTTGGTTGATCCATAACATCCTGGTCAGTGGGGTAATGTGTTTGGCTTTGGGCAGCATGCGTGGCGTTAGACAATGGTGCTAGAGTATGTATGAATGTGCTTAGGTGCAAAAGAAGCAGAGCACTCTTAGTCCAGGCTTGAAGGTTCAGCATCAGGGAATACTGCTGTTTAATCTCATTGTAGCTGTGTTTGCTATCTGAAAAAAGAGAGATTGAAAAAAATACTAGTTATTGGGGTTTGATTGTTTTGTTTTGTTTTTTCTTTAAAGCAAGCCTGGGATGGTTGTGGTCTTTCTGTAGTTGTTAACAATAATGTATATTAACCCTGTGCTTCAAAGTGTGCTAACTAACATTAAGAAAGTAGGTAGAGACTGACTAAATTGGAAGTACGCTAAGGAGGGTGGGGGCACTATCAGAGGCTGCAGGGGAGAGGGTGGTATAGGGAAACAATTGTATATATTTTCAGTCCTGTGGTACCAGGGTGAACAAGTGGTTATAGACATCTCCATGTGATTTTTAATTTGTTCATATGTCGGGACATTTTAAGGGGAGAGGAATGGGCAAGGTAAGTAGCAAGAATTAGGGCTGGGAAGGGTTAGGAGAGAGAAAATACACTGAGGTGGGCAGAGGATGAGGAAGGACTGGAGGGGGGAAGGAACAAACTGGTGGCATTTTAAGATGGTGAGAAAAAAGGTGGCAGTGGTGAGCAAAGTGTACATGTGTCCTGAGTAGCAAGGCTGTGCAGGTTTTAGGTGGGTATGGTGGAGCTGATGGTGCTGTTGTCATGCTCCTCCACCTGGGGAAGGGCTGCTGGCACACATGGCACAGATGGTCTGGTCTCTGCTCTTTCCTGTTAATCTCTGAGAGCCATGTGGTGGCCCTAGTTGAGTTTCTGTACTTTATCTTCTGTTATTATAGCTGGGGAAGAGAAATAGTATCCATAGTGTCGTGTATAGTTCTGCTGCAGTGCAGAACTGAATGCGATGTTCTCATGACTGGCAACCCAACAGCTGATTTCAAGAGGAGTAAAAATGTGTGAAACATTTTGAGTGCTATGAATTTAGCTCTCAAAGATGTTCTTGACCACCTCCTAGATTATTTTTTAGTGGAGTTGGGATACACACGCAAGTGACTTGAAATATGTGTGAACTCTGATATGTGGAGGTGGAAGGGATAGATACACTGAACAGACTGTGTGCAGTGTGTTCATTTTGTGTCAGACAGCACCTACTGAGAGGTGGGACTCTGTGCAGATGCCACCAGGTGAATTGCTCTGTGCTTTGATACCATGCTCCTGCAGAAGTTATGGGGCTTTTGGGTTTTGTCTTTGTGTTTTCATCTTCAGCTGGCGTTATGGTGAGCAGCAGAAGGGTGGTAGACTATTCGTTAGAGCTTTCCCTTGCCCTCTCCCACAGACACATGCAGCACTGATGTAAAACAGTCCCAATTTTGTCTCATTCAGCTGTTGTTTATAGGTGGAGGTTAATCCCATTTAAGAATAGGATTAGCAAAAATATAGTGATTTAACCATTAAGCCTCAACTTGGGTTGAGGCAGTTCTGAGATAGTCCTAGCTGGGATTAATGCTTTGCAGACATTCAGGATTGAGACAGTTTCATGGCAGGCCATGAACCACTGAGGTGTAAATCTAACGGAGCTCACCATGACAGCAGTTGTATGCTTGGCCTGCTAAATGACTGTGGGATTTGTAGAAACAAAGGCAAGTAAAGGATCTTTCTTTGTTGCGTGAAACTAACTTCCTCAGAGAAATGAATTACAAAGATAATACAGCAAAGCTCATGCTTTGCTGTCTTTGGTTACCTTAATACTGAGCATGGTGTGCTGGTGATTACTGCTGATTTTCCCCAGGCACCAGCAAGATCTGCTCCTTTCAAGGATGACAGGCTTGGGATTGCTGGTTGGATTGGCACTTCTGCTTTTATCCCTCTTCTCTGAACTTCCTTAAAGGTACTTACCTCTTTATGGACATACTGATAAAGGCCTGTTAGCAAAATCCTGAGCTTTGCAGGAGCAGATGTAGGAAGAAAGATCAATAGGATCAGTCTGAGCTTTGAGGGGGTGGGACAGGGGATTCCCTGCTTACTGAATAAGGACATAATCTGCTGCGGACAGTGGCATGACAAATGCACCTACCTTGAGCACAGTCCCCATGCATTTCAGTTAAAAACCTTCTTAAGGCAGGGCAGCAGAGGTAGATTTCAAAATAATTGTTTCGTGGTTTAAAAACAAAACAAAACCCACAAAAAGCACCAGAAGCAACTGATCAGGTCAAACAAATATATCTAGATAATGAGCTTTTAACACTGCTTGAAGTTGTAGAATGAAGCAAGAAAATCCAAAGTACAGATTTTGTTTGGGGTTCCTTCCACCGAACACAAAGTAGATGCTTCTGAGAAACAGAAGATGGATAGCAGCAGTGCTGTGGGGAGCAATTTAATAAAGGCAATTTGTATTCATTGTAATTAAAAATGCAGAAGTTGCACCCAGAATTGCTTTTAAAGTAATGCATAAAATGTTGTTAATGACAGTGTAGTAATCTGCACAGGCGTGATGCGCATTTTCCGTTAGGAACTTTTGAAGACTGTTTATGCTCAGCTCCTAAAGGTGCATTTCTACAGCATAGGGCAAGGCTGTATTTGAAACCTCTATATAACCCTATTTTTTTCTATAAGAAAACTATGCAAACTGTGAGCATACTCCCTTGGTTTTGGTTTCAGAAATTTAAATCAAGACAACTACTTTGTTAGATAAAAGCAAAACTTAACTGAAAAGGACAATGCAAACAGTGATTGAAAACATATTATTTCAGTTGAGTGAGAAAGTTGGCACTCGAGGGATTTGGATTGTGTTTTCTTCAGGGCTTTTGGTGGGCAATGGTCTGCTTGGCAAGCATTTTGCTTCAGGTACATTTTTGTATGACTTTTCTGATTGAGAGGTTCAGAGAATAAGCTGTAGAGGAGGGAGAAAACAAAACTCAGCGATGCAGAAGTATCGAATCCCAGCTGAAGAGATCTGATCATTCTTGAAACATTTTGAAATGTGTCAGCCATATTTATAAATAGCTACATTAAAAAAGAAGAAAGCTTAATCCTTTTAACACTGTAAATCATGGAAAGCAGTGAAAACTTATATTTATGAGGGGGATCGTGAAAGCTTGTGTGACAGTTGGAAATTACATCATTGTTGATGTTTCAACTTCGTGTATAAAGTAATGCAGTACTGTTTAAGAATGAATGAACAAATGATTGTGCTGTGCTAAGTGTACTCTATATGGATAAACTGGGTTGAGCTATTTTGTATCTCGTTTTGCAGTTTACAGTCTCATATGTTTCAATGTCAACATAGAAAACTCAATTCTGTGTATGTATTTTTTATTCCAGATACAGACCCACGAGTATTAGAGAAACAAGAACTTCAACAGCCAACATACGTTGCTCTAAGTTACATTAACAGGTAAGTGTGGTTATTTTTTTGGGTATACCTGATCTTGGTTTGCACAATATGCGTCTATATGCACATGCCAAAATGGTGCACTGATGTATGCACTCTGTTTTTTTTTCATGTTATATGACACTGTGATAACACCTGTTTTGGAAAGACAGTTGAATTAAAATTTGACTAAATTTTTAATCACTTTTACACAGGGCACAAGCAGCCCTTCAGCTGCGCTACTCAGATACTTGGGGATGAGGTTTTAGCCTTTTATGTTCGAGCTAAGTCTTGTTCAAACAAGATTGCTTATTTTTCTACTTTCTTGTGCTCAACACGAGTTGAGAAAGAATTCTTTCTTTCAGTGAAAAGTGACGTTTAACTGATAATAGTTCCATACAAGAATTCTTTACAGTACTTGGAGGTTTTCCAATCACAGTGTATATCTTTAAAAATCTTGCTTACCTGCCCTATATAATCTAAACCTGGAAAATTTTAAGAAATAAAGCCATTTTTTAAAGCGCTTAACTAAATAACAGAGCTTTGGCTTTTCAGTTATTGACTGAGGGCAGAACTAAAACCTCCAGAGTACTCCAGCGTGGAGGAATGGAAGGGCTGCTTGTGTCTTAGGCTGTGAATGGTGAAGAGCAGGCTGAGAACTGCTCCTTATTTTCCCTCTCACCTAAGTACATTGCGGGATTCAGCGGACGTAGCTCTGATTAAATTTTTTTCTGGGAGGGGAGTGAGCCATGGAGCATGCTGCGCGGAAGGGAAAGATGGCAAGGTTTTGTGCAGTGGCAGTGCCCCTTTTTTCACTATGTTTGCCAAGCTGTCTTTTAATCCTAAATGAACACTGTACAGGAAATGTAATTCCTCATTATTTTGCCGCCTTTTACATCAGACCGTTTTTTTGATCAGTTGTGCTGTGGTTGGAAGTTCCAGTTAGTTGCATTTTGGAAATGCGTTTCTCGGAAAATATTCTGTATGAGATGATTGTTATTTTTACATGGGACACCAGTTTCCTCTTGTGTCTTTGCTGTCTGGAGGATGACATACAAATTCACAAGCTTGGAAGATTAATCCCAAAATCTAATTCAGGATAGGCTGAGTTGATTCAAACTCTCATGGGTCATGCATAACGCAAAACTCTTCTTTCTGATTCTGCTTCATGTTAAAAATGAAAAGAAACCCACCCAGCCCCCAGAAAAATCTACAGCAAAACCCAACAAACTTTTTCAAACACAGAATTCATCCACCGTTTGGCTTTGGATAGTATTTGCTGTAAAGAAATGGTGTTGGGGCAGGGAGGGGAGTGGGGGGAGGGAGGGGGGAAGTCTTGGAGGTATGAAAGTAAGAAGTGGTGTTCACTTGGTCAAATGACTCAATTTACTCCACTGCATGAGACTATGATGATTAAGAATAGCTGGTATTGATTTCCTACTTGGCAAGTAACTCCTGCTCTTCCTGGAGACAGTTCTGCCCTTTAAAGCATATTTTGAAATTAACCATGACCCTTTGTAACACTTATTTCTGTTGATCTCATTCGACGTATAAAACGTTTGGGGTTTTTTTTCTTCAGTATGTAGGCTTGATATGTTGTTGTCTATGTTGGTATGTTTCCCTCTCTCCATTATATACTTGGGCATTTCCTCTTGTTGCCTCTTATTTTAAAGTAAATATTATTATTTTACTTAATGTGAAGGAGAGGGAAGTATTTTTTTAAAATTACGGAAAAGTTGGTTTAAGACCTCAGAAAGTACCATGGGACTTAATCGTCCAATTTGCAATGAGACTACTTTTTAAAGGAGCTTGAAAGTGGTACCTCCTCTGGATTTCACAATTTTGGTACCCTTTTTAACTGAGTTCTGTGTGACTGAGACAGTTTTAGTTACTCACTGCATATTTTGTCCAAACATTCTTACCCTTTCAATTCTGAGAAATAATTCTGCAGAACTGAATTGTTCTTACAGCAAAACCCAATCTGAATTGACTGTTATTTAAACCAGGTGCTATTTAATTGCTCTTTTAATTGTATTTTAATTTCTTCCAAAGCGCTGATGTCTTTCATTGAACCACCTGCTCTATGCAGCTCCAGCTCTTGAGGGAACAGCAATATCCATTACACTACAAGACATGCCTTTCTATTTCCTTCTACATGTGCCAGAGCCGAGTTCTGCTTTGTTGTCCCAGGCTATGAACTCAGATTTTGTAGCCTAATGCATGTCATAAACATGTTGCATACTGTTAGATATCAAACACCAGATACTGCTGCACTTCTTTTAAACCCATGCTTTTATGGCTTCCAAGTGGAACTGAACTTAGCTCAGTTCCTGCTGTGAGTTCCAGGCCTAAAAACAATCTTCCTCTGTAGGTTTGTATATTCAATATATTCTGTGTGGGCCGTACGCTCTCATGGAGCCTGGGAAAACACAGACTTCTGATTCTCAGGGACTGTCAAAATTATATGATAAGATGTACACTTAATATATGTTGTGGTAGAAAGATTAAGTGGGTGTGCTTTATGCTCTGCCCATTGCCCAGTTGTATGGTGGCCATTATAAGCTAAACCAAAACAAAACATAAATCTGGGTTCTCTGGTTTGATAGCTGGGAGGATGAAGTATCCATAAAGCAGATAGTAGAGACAGAAGGGTACGGAAGTCTTCATTTCCAACCTGAAACATACTGTTGTTTCCATTTCCTTTCTACTCCTGGTTATTTTCTGAGGCATATTAATAGAGCAGTATTGTATGTGCTATTAAATTCTGAAACATCCTTCAGACTGTCGATGGCCGAATCTATAAGGCTACATCTCTTTCTCTGCTGGAGATCTACTGCCATTACAGCTTTCAGTAACTACACACAGATGCAGCTTCCATAGTATGTGATCCTCATGTAGACAGATAACATTGCTTTTAAAACCGGAGGATAAAACATAATTTATAGGTCACAATGGTTTATTATCGCTACATCAAACACTTGCACCAGGCACTGACTGCATTGCCGCAAATCCTTTTCTCAAGGATTAGTGTAGCCTTATTGCAGTCCCCACTATTGATGATTGTTCCCTATTTACTTTTGATTTGCTTTTGTAGAAGTCAAAATTGGAGTCAGTAAGACACACTACTGCCAAAGCAGATGCGGTTCATCTGCTTCCGTCCTATAAATATAGGAGCAGTTTGTCTGCAAGAAGTTCAATGGTGCTACTGCATGAGTGGGATACTGGCTGTAATCTGCCAGCAGTAGTTGCAAATGAGCACTTGGGACAACATCCTCCACTACTTTCAAGAGGTATTTCCTTTGTATATGGATCAAGACACCTTTATATTTTGTATTGCATTGAAATGCAGTGATGAGCAGCAATAATTAATATTGCTTATGCTGCTGCTTTAGATATGTATTTATAGGTTTAAGTTAATTAACATGACTATGGATTTTGCTTGGCGTTTATTGGAACTTACATGGTGCTGTCTGTGCCTCTAAGTCTCGTTGGTCTGGGACTTTGGAGGCGATGGTTCTTGAGTTTGCTGTATTATCCTGGCATTGTAGCATACTGTCAAGGCTTTCAGGCTTGTGCAGTCTAATGGAAAGAGACTCCTCAGTATTTGCATTTGTGAAAATTTGTTTAATGTGGAAATTGCTGGCTAGCTGTTAGTGATGAAAGCAGCTGTTGTGGGAATGGGTTGGTTAAAACAAACAAACAAACCATCCCAGCATTAGTAACGCAAGTGAGAAGACAACAGAGGCATACAAATACTTCCTCTAGCTCTAAAGGTAATACTGAAAAAAAAAAAGCTACAAGTAAAATCCTTGATTCTAAAACTTCATGAAATAAGAATCTTTTACAATTAAGTTTTAAAGAATGTATTGTGACTTTGAGCTGGTAAGTACCAGAAATAGGAAGAAAGCATAATTTATTGGAGTGAATTCCTTTCACCTTGAAAACTGAAGGTGGGAAGTCCATAGTAACTTGTATTATTGGAAGCAGATGTCAAAAAAAAAAATAAAATATGCATTTAATACACTTTCTACAAAATGAATTTTGCTTGGATACAGAAATGACTTTGATTAAAAGAATTTTATCACAGTGGAAAATAAAGGAAACTAGAATGCACCTACAACTGAAATTAATCTGCTTCATTATGTAGTGTTTTCTACTGCAAATCACATAATAGCTACATTAGGGAAATGTTGAAAGCAGAGACTATTGTAATCTTAAAATCTTTTAAAAGTTACCAAAGTACTTTTAATTACATGAATTCTAGGCTCTTTAGTGATGGTTTTCTGTTGATCATTGAGATTATACAAGAAAGATTTTAAATGAGGCTGTTGATTGTCTATAAAGTTGTGCACAACTGGGAGTACAAACGAAGCCTTTGATCAGAACTGGATGGCATTCTTGGGTGAATGGTCCAAGATTGTCCTTGCACATCTCTGAGCCAGTCCCAACATTTTTGCACCTCCCTTCAGATTTTATTTTTAACTAGAAAGATTTTACCTCACTGTTACCATAACAAATTCCTGTAGGCTCCAGGCTTTTCCTCCCATTTCCCTTTTCTTTCAATGCTCATTGACTTCTCAAGAACAAATCCCCCTACTCTGCTTCCTTTTTTAATAGTACTACAAGTAAAATGAATCATTCCTGTGAGCATACATGCAATTGTGAAAGGAATTAATTGCGTGTAAATTTCTAACCACTATAAACTCCCTGTGTCTTGTCCAGCTCACTAATTCTGTTTCTACCGCTATTACCTATTGTTTCCAGGACTAAAATTAACAGCCAATGCTGTTTAACAGCCAACCATTTGAAAGTTATTTTAAAAAGTGGTAAGTCTTTAGGTAGTGATGGATTTAGTATGCACTATGTTACTGAAGCAAAAACAAGAAGAATGTTTTGGATTGGAGGTAATGGCCTTTGGCTATATCCATGTGGCTTCTTAGTAGAGCATCCAAGCCACATGATACTGGTCCTTTATTTCTTTGGCTTTAACTCTTTATTTTAAGGTACTATGCTCAGTGGTGGAT